GATGGTGTCTGCCTCCGCGCAAAAAAATGAGATGGGCATCACTGCCAACGCCGACGGCCAGAAAGGCCCGCGCATCTACATTTTCCCGCCTGACCCCATCAGTGCCGACCCAATTCACCACCACACGCACGCCTCGCGGCATATGCGCAGCAGCAAGAAGGTTTCGGTCATCCCTTGAGGGTGAGTCTAGCCCTGCTCGCCAGAAAGACCGAAAGACCCCCCCCTTCACTACAACCCATGTCTAAGCAAAAGCTTGTCGAGGAGCGAGGGGAAGAAGGGAAAGTGTGGATATATATAATTCCTTGTAAACAAGTCAATCTCCACAGTGGAAGGCGATTGTGTGTGCTCTCCCCACATATTCTGGCACCAGTCGAGATACTTTTCCGTGTATCTGTTTCACGGATTGACCGGATTCACACAGGAGGAAGGTTCTTTAAAGAGTATTTTCTTTTTATGGCCCACCTTTCCACTTGCGGCGCTTGCTTGTTTTTGCTGCGAGAACGGTTCAGCCGGTCTTTCCCGTCGTCGACCGTGTGAGTCGAATTATATGCACTGTAGCTCTGACATATTTGTTTCACTCCAGAGAGACAATCGCATAGCGACCTGCTAGTACTAGGTTTACGAGAAGTGCACTACTAAAGTAGAAGACCACCGCTGTTAACAACTGCGTGGGGGAAAACGCTATTATTGCGTCTACCTCTTGTTGTGTGACGCCGGATGGTGCGTCAACTATACATGTATACCGAAGGTGTAGACTAGTGCCCGGATCTGAAACGACGATGAAACACACACAAACATGCACATGACAATCATGAATAATACACACATGATAACTTAAGCACACACGCAACATCTCCCCGAAGTCTGTCGACGATGATTCCCGCTTTAAGTCTACATCTTGCACATGTATCTTGCCTGGACAGGAGATGGAGACAACGCCGCTGACTCCCTCGAATGAAGTCGAAGAAGTATTGAAAATATGCCACCGGGAGCTTTGTGGTGGGGGGATCTCTGATTCGGCCCGTACAAATGCGTGAATCGAACCAGGATCCCAGATAGTCCACACGGCTTCGACGGGGTGGTATGACAGCGCCAGATGTTGCGTGTGGGGGACCGCTCCGATCCAGGTCGGTCTACCGTGTGAGGTATCGAGGCCATCACGCAATACATAATCGCTGTCCAAAGCACCAAGGCCATCGACTGTGATTATTCCACATGCTGCGCCGAGCTGGACAGACGGGAAAAGTGGTACGGCGGCACGGTCCATTGGAATCTTGGCTTGATATATTGGCTTGTGAGGAGGGCCGGCGATGACCCCATCAGTAGTCGCCAGCCAAAGGTGTGTAGGCAGCAGCAGAAGTTTTTTGTCTCCCCACCAACTCCTACCACTCACAGCTTGAAGAATCATGACTAAGCCTGCTTTACACGGTGTGGGGGAGCCCAATCGTTGGGATGGTGTGTGTGTAGCAGGCCCATGAGGGATCGGGGCGACCTCGCGCGTATCCTCGTATCGCACGTGCGTCCCTGAATCAAAGTTACGGTTCCCACCTCCCTCCGGGAATCATTCTGATTCTGGTCTCGATACTCGACGTGCGGCAGCTGCACGTCTAGGTGTGCATGTCTCGAACACGACGCGAGTGCACCGTGAGCGGCTTTTATCGGCAGAAAAAGACTGTGGATCTCTCTCTGGATCTTTGTCAATGGCAACGTCACAAAGGCGGGTACAACAAGGCTCGGCGCCCGGGAATCTGCCATAGATGGCAGGAAAGAAACTCCTGCCAAAAAAACGCCTCCAGAACCGACTCTACAGAACCAGATTTCAAACTGAAGCACTGAAGCCGAGAGCGCGCCTGCACCTGCCCANGGGCGCCTTCCTCACAAGAGTGTGTAACTCCGTATCTCGTCGAGTTTCCGTCGGTAGGAAAAAAAATAACCGGTTCTAGGGCGCCTTCCGACAGAAGATTCCGTTGCCGGCATAAAAAAAAAAAAAGGTTTCGCGCCACCTTTGGACGAAAATAAATGCGGCGGGATCCATTTCACAGGGAAGATCAACTCGGAGCCAAGCGTGCACCTCGCCAATCGACTCCGCTTGGTCGAATTACCCACAAAGGAACTCACTGCAGGGTCTCCCGACCCCACC